CCCCACCACTCGCTTGCGCTTGCGTTCCTGCACTTCTTTCATATACACTCCCTCCCCAGCCCCACACCCCTCCTACAAAATCCCACCGAGGAGGCTGAGACTGAGGTCAGGATTCTGGAGCCAGAGGGCCAGCTCTGCTCCTCCACTTACCTGATGGGTGAGCTCCAGCAACTCATTTCTCTTTGAGCCTCATCTTACTCACCTGTTAAAAAAAAAAAAAAAGGAAGAAAAAACAAAAGAAAGTCATTCTTTCCTCCTGGGATTGCCCCAAGAACTAGGAAAGACCCTGTATGTCGAAGGTCCACTTGCTGCCAGCTCTTGGGCATTGTTCGTGTCCTGCCCCTCATTTCATCCTCAGTTGGGGGACCCTGAACTGGTGAAAGTCACTTGGGCAGCTGACCTGTGAGATCTCTCCCAGTTCTGAGGTGTGAAGTCCCTTTGGGGCATGTGGACCTGCTGTGTCCCATAACATGCTCAGGCCCTTGGTTCCTTGTGGGGAGAGGGCAGTGGGTGCAGTGGCTTCCCTGGCTCTAAGGTAGTCACCTCCTTCATGAGCCCAGGGAGGCTGCCAGAGGAGGGAACCTGGGCATCAGAAGCAGGCACAGAGGGAACAATAGCAATCCTCCCCTCCCCACCATCGCAGCTGCCATGTCAGCACCAAGTCCAGGTTCTCAGAGCAGCTGCCCGGGAGCCTTCTTCATGAGGGTATCTGGCTGTGAGTGAGGAGCCTTGGAGTTGTCCTGCTCCATCCCCAACCCCCAGCAGGCCCTCTCATCCCACCCTCCTCTAGCTTCAGCGAGCATCAGGACCAACCTTGGCTCCCTCCCCAGCTGTCCTAGAGCCGCCCCACTGAGTCACTGCCTCCAGCTCCCTCCCTCCCCTTCTGCCGCCCACTGTCTGCCCACCCCCACCCACCAGCCAGGCCCCCTGTGAGCCCTAAGAGCTGGTTGGACCTGCTGGCAGCCACATGTACCCCTCCAGTGCTAAGAGAGACCTCAAGCCACAGGCCATAACTGACCCCAGCACCCCTGAGCGCAGGCAGACAGACTGATTCAGCGGCAGGGCCAGGCCTTGGTTTATTCACTCTACATAGAATGTATGCTGTAAACTTTGCGAAGACAGAGACTGTGTTTTATCCACTTCTATACTTCTAGCACCTAGTACAGGGCCTGGAATAAATGTTGAGGGGTGCCTGAGACTGGTCGCACTACTCCTGTCCTCCTGAGGTTCCCCATTTATGAGCCAGATATAAACCAGAGTCACAAATGGAGACAGATTCAGAGGCTCGGTCTGAAAGGGATGCAGAAGAGGCAAAGAGCTGCAGGATGCACAGCCCCAGGATGGCAAAGATACAGATAGAAATGGGGACAGACTGAGCCTAGTGGGGAGCACTGGGGGCTGGGCCTGGAGCCAGCCTGTGCCAATGACCACAGCAGGCTCTGTGGGCTGAGCTTGCAGGACTGAACAGTGACTCATGGGGCCCATCTCTGTGGCTCTCCTGGCAGCAAAATCTACTCACAGCAGCCTTTTCCACTGAGATCATAAAATGGGGATAGGCCTCCCTCCTCTGCCCCTTCCCCAGCCTTCCCTCAGCTTTGCATTTCTTACCAACATGACTCAACCAAAAATGAAGTGGGAGCTGTGTGCCTCAAGGGGCCTCTAGTGATAAGAGAGCCACAATCATTGCCCTCATTCCATCCCAAACCTCACATACCCTTTTTAGTACTGCCCCAGACAGTTAAGTTGACAGATACCCTAAACCCTCCAGATCTCTCACCTCTGGCCTGAATAACTCCAGACTCCTTAGTGTGGTCTTCAAGACCTTCTAGAGGCATCACAGCCTTGCTGACCAGCTCTTACACAGGCCTGGAAAACTCATCTGATCACCAGTCTTGTCTCAAACTGTCTCCTGTACCTGGAATGCCCATGTCCATCTCCCCAGGTCAAAATCCTTCCTCCTTCAAGGCACTGGAGGCCACTTCTGCCATCCTGCCTAGTCAGCTGGTGACTTGCTTGCTCTCCTGCATCCCAGGTGCTTGCCTCCTCCCGGCTGTGCTCACCTGCTTTCTTACCCTCAGTCTGCTCATCTCTGACCAACCCTATTTGCCTGGAAGTCCCCCCTTTCTTTTACCCAGCTCCAGGCCCAGGAACCCCTCTGCACCCCCCTCCCCTACACCATCAGTTGTCTGATGATGGGGATTTTATTTCTAAACCTTTCTAATCTCGTAATTTTTGAAGGATGTGGTGTCTGGGCCACCTTCCTCTGGAGACCTGGTTAAGATTACAAATGGCTGGGCTCCTGTAGACCTGCTGAGTCAGAACCTTTGGGGTAGGCCCAGGAATCTGTGTTTGACAAGCTCCCAGTGATTCTGATACTGAGGTCTGAGAATGGCTGCCTGCCCTCTTCAGCACAAGCACCTTCACATCCCTGGGCTGCTGGAGGAGCCTCCCAACAGGTCTTCCATTTCTAGCCTTTCCTCCTACCAACCCTTCCTCCACGTGTGGTTTCATACATCCTCCACCTAGCACCAGCTACATTCGAGCTCCCTAATGCGCATCACTGCCCACACTCCCCAGATCATAATTCTCCAGGCTGGCTTTCTGCCACCTCCAAAACTCAGTGGGGTTACCCCACCCAAGCCTTTGTGTCCCTGGCTGGTCTCTCCCCAGCACATCACCCACTGCTCCTTGCTTTTCACCATGTGTGCTCCAGATACCTTTTATTCATGCTGCTCTTCCCACCTAGAATGCACCCATGCAATTTTGCCCATGTTGTCAGAGCCCCTCCACACACACACACTCATGCTCCTCCCAAAGCCCTCCCAGATTTCCTCAAGGCCTCACATGTTCCTTGGCTTGTAATGTAACACCAATGATGACAAACATTATAATCCCTTACCATGGGCCAGGCTGTATACTAGGTTTTTACATTTCATCTAATCCAGACAGCAACCTTATGAAGTAAGTATGATTGTTACCTCATTTTAGAGATGAAGACACTGGGGCTCAGAGAGAATATGTGACATACCTAAGATAACATAGCCAGTGAGTGAGAGCTGGGACTAACCGCTAGGCCTTAAACACTGCCGACTGTAAGCAGTGTGAGGGCAAAGCCTAAAAGTCACTCTTTCTTCTCTTCACACCTTCCCCAGGCATAACACAGAAAAAATGTTGACTAAATTTGTAACCTTTGCAGTGTGTTGGGCCCTTCAGATCTGTAAAGATTAAGCACAGGATGGTGATTACCTAGGGCTAGGCAGAGGGTGAGGAGTGACGGCTGATGGTAGTTTCTTTTGGGGACAATGAAAACGTTCTAAACTAAGGCTGTGGTGAGGGTTGCACAACTCTGTGAATATGTTAAAGACCACTGAACTGTACATTTTAAATGGGTGAATTTTATGGTGTGTGTGTTAGGTGTCAATAAAGATAGATACTTTTTTTTTTTTTTTAAATTCTCCAGCACAGTGGAAATTGAATCTGGGTCTGCTGTTATCAGGGATTTCTGTCCCTAAATGTTTCTGGACCCCACAGTATCCAATTTGTGTCGGAAACACTCAAGGTAACCAGCTCCCTTGAGATTGTCCTCCCACCCACCAGGTGCAGAACACTTCTGTTCATTTGTCCTACACCTCCCTCCAGGTGTTTAAGGAAGGCTTATCCGGTCCCAGTGTGTGGTGGCTGCATCTTTGGGCACCTTGGCACCTGACCTCTGGGGTCTCTTTTCCTACAGGTTGTTTCCATTTTGTGGACTCCCAGTTCTGTGACCCTGTGCCCATACAGCAATCTCCCGGACTGCAGGCATCCTGTGAGGTGACGTATTGGGAAGGAATGGGAGAGGAGGGAGGGAGGGCCATAGGGCCTAACAGTCATTCCCAGGACCCCAGGACCCCAGGACCCCCCTCCCCATTCTCTATCCAGGAAGCCCTGGGGCAGGGAGTTGGCAGTTTCCATCTCCCTCACCACCTGCCCTCTTGCCCCCTGCCCACACCCCAGAATCCCCAGACACATGGACACAGGACACACATCCATCTAAGAGATGTTTAATGTATCTTAGGTTCAAAGTACAAAATACAGGGCAGGCACTAATCCCAGGAAAGTCACCTGCCACCCAGTCAGCCCCTTACCACTGCAACCAGGCATCCCAGCCCCAGAGCAGTGGAGCAGTGGCCCTGGGATACCTGGCTCTTTTCCTGTTTGGGGAATAACAAGGTGACAATGTGGGTGGGAGCTCAGAGGCCATCGTCTCCCTTCCTCATAAAACCCAGACCCAAGGATCTGAAAGATCCAGACTTGGACACAGAGCAGCAGATCCCTCAGAGTCACCCTGGCTAAGAAGCAGCCCTGTTGTGAAGCCTGGCCCAGCCCTGTGGCCATAGTCCTGGAAAAGGAGGAACTATTGCCCCAGTGACTGGCAGCAAAGGGAAGGAGATAAAGCAAGGAGTGGAGACAGATTCCCACTGCCCTAAACAAATAGATTATGGGTAGCTGACCCAACAGGGCAGCAAACCCTGCTGCACCTCCCACCCCATACCCTCTGAGGATCAGCCCCTCGCGGAGCCTTCTGCCGGGGTACTGTCCTTGCGCTGGTGCTAGGGAGGAGATGGAGGGCAGGAAAGGCCAGTGTCATCTGAGGAATGATGCCCTTGCTTTGGGGGCAAGAACATCTGCGTAGAGTCACCCCATGAGGACCCTCTGGGGAAGGGGCATCAACTACCCGCATCTCTGGGCCTTGCCCCTAGAAGCTCTGGACTGGGTCTTGAGCCAGGGTAAGGGCCTTACTGAAAGGGAAAGTGAAAGGAGTTAGAAGCAGGGAGGGTGGTGAAAAAGGTCCCTGTGAGGACCAGCCCAGGAGACCCTTCTGACCTGCCCCAAGGGAGCCCAGTTGCTACTTCAGCCCATGCCCCTCTAAGCCCATGTCAGGTTGAGTGGGCTCCTCTGCCCATTGTGCAGGGAAGGTTTCTACAGGGGCTTGGCCCCCTGCTCCTCCTCGAGTCCCTGGGCTACAGCCGGCCACCTCTGTTGAACTGGATGCACCAGTGGGAGTTGGCGGTGCCTGGGCTGAGATGAGTGTGGTCCTCGTGTCCCATGAGGGGCTGCAGCTCCTGCTGCTGGGGGATGTCAGCACTGCTCTCGCTGTGAGAGCGGCCAGCCTTGGCCAGGCTCGTGGGAAAGGCAAAGCTAGGGCGTAGATCAGAAGGCAGGTTGAGAGGGGCCTGGGGCTCTTCAGTGACCAGTGAGCGGGGAGGCAGGCGGGTCATAGGTGGGGCCTGGGTACAGGGCGGGGATGCCAGGCTCTCCAGGGACGAGATGCTCTGGTTCCAGCCTGTCTGCATGTCCACGGGCACAATCTTGGTGGTCTCTGAGGACACGTAGACTGCCAGGTCCCCCTGCCCACTCTTCCAGGGCAGCTCCTTCTCTGCACAGGTTGGGGAAGGGGGTATGATGCGTGGGCTTGGGCACACCTCAAGGCTCCCTGGGGACAGAGTACACATGCACTCATTACCAATCCAGTGGAATCTTTCTCAAGTATAAGCACACTTTCAATAAATCAGTTCATTCCACAGTTGCCACATAACATCCACGTGTGCAGTTATTTGATGCATGCCTTGCCGAGTGGAAGCGCCACAGCTGGTTTTGCTCCCCATAGTATGCCCAGCACCTAGCACAGGGCTGGGCACATAGCAGTTGCTCAACAAATACCTATTGAACAAATGAAAATAACTAAAGCAAGAGAAAGTGGGATCAAGGCAAGAAAAAACCCATCTACCATCAGCCCTCACCCAACTTGCAGTGCTAGTCTTAAACCACATCCTGCCAAGCCCCATCCCATAGGGTGAGGAAGATCTTGAGGCTTGGCGACTGGGCTCCTTGCCTGAGATCCCACCACAGCCCTTTGGTGCGACAGAGTCCAGGAGTTTGAGCTCATGTGAACCTAACAACAGGCTAAAGCTGTGCCGGCGAGGGGGATGCCAGAGCACAGGAGACCTGAGAATCCCAGAACTGCTGGCAGCCAGCATGGAATGCCTGGCCGCTGCATTACAGGAAGTCTGAGGTTCTGAAAGAGGAAACCTGGGAAAGAGCAGCCCTCCGGCCACCTAACACCCCTCGTTCTCCAAAGTCATGCTCAATGCCTTGTGTATAATAGGTGCTCAGTATGTGTCTGCTCATTGGTAAAGTCCTGAGCACTCCAAAAATCTTGACTGAGTATGTTATGAAATGTATTAATTCTGTGATTGAAAGTAAAACTACCTCTCTTGAAAGACCTGGGATGCTGGATTGAATTTTAACAACAACAAAAACTAAACAAAAAACTTCAGTGTTGGGCTTCCCTGGTGGTGCAGTGGTTAAGAATCCACTTGCCAATGCAGGGGACATGGGTTCGAGCCCTGGCCCGGGAAGATCCCACATGCCGCGGAGCAACTAAGCCCGTGCGCCACACTACTGAGCCTGAGCTCTAGAGCCTGCGAGCCACAACTACTGAGCCCACGTGCCACAACTACTGAAGCCTGTGCGCCTAGAGCCTGTGCTCCACCACAAGAGAAGCCACGGCAATGAGAAGCCCGCGCACTGCAACAAAGAGTAGCCCCCGCTCACCGCAACTAGAGAAAGCCCGTGCACAGCAACTAAGACCCAACACAGCCAAAAATTAATTAATTAAAAAAACAACTTCAGTGTTCACCTTTAGAGGATGCTGGGGAACTAACTGTTGGTTTGAAAACTGATAAATAAAATGAAAAATTCAAGCATTTATCCATTCTTCCCTATATGAACTGTACCTCAAAGTAACTAAGTAATTGATGAAGGGAAGTTTTTTTAATAGAAGAATTACCGTTAATCAATGCAGATGAAAAAAGAGACATAGAATATCACCATTGTGCAACCCCTAATGAAATGTTGGATCTGGCAGTGATCACCAATGGCTGCCAAGACCGTCTGATGAAAAGTTGACAGGGAACTTGATAATGGATGGATCAAGCCAACAACAGCTAAAGCCTGTTATCAATGTTAACCTCACAAGAAGAGAGACACCGAGATGCTTCCTGGTGTGATGAATGCAATAGGAGGTACAACATCACCACCTATGAAGTATGCGTACCAAATCTGATCTGGATTTAATTATTCGTTCAGAGGAAATATAAGGGTCAGTGAAACATATTAAATGATGCTTTGGGGATGCAATCAGCAAAATCCAGACAAGGAAAGACTGTGGGACAAATAATCAGGTTATTTCAATAAATCCAGTGGAAGAAAAAAAGGTATTGGTGGGGGGAACCTATAAATCAGGGTTTTTCAAACTTGACATTATTGACAGGTTGGAAGAGATACTTTGTTGTAGGGGGGCTGTCCTGTGCATTGTAGGATGTTTACCAGCATCCCTGGCCTCTACCCACTCATTGCAGAGGTACCCCTCCAGCTGTGACAACCCAAGATGTCTCCAGACAATCCCCTAGAGGGCAAAATCACTCCACCACTACCCTCTTAAGAATCACTGCTGTAGATTAAGAGACTTATCAACCAAATTTCATGGGTGGGTCTTGTCTGGATTTTTATTTGGACAAACCTACTGTAAAAAACTATTAAGACAATCAGGGAAACTTGAACACTGACTGCATATCTGATAACAAAGATTTTGGATATGATAATGGTATTGTGGTTATATTTTTAAGAAGAATCCTTATCTTTTAGAGATACATGCTGAAGTATTTTTTGATAAAGTGATAATGATATTTGAGATTTGCTTCAAAAGAATCCAGTGAAGAGAGGGGCATAGTGAGGGTATAGATGAAATAAGATTGGTTAGGAGTAGATAATGATTGAAGCTGGCTGGTGGATAGATGGGAAGTTTATTTTATTATTCTGTCTATTGTATATTTTGAAATTTTCTATAATATGTGTTTTAAAAGACACCTAGGGTGCTTGAGCCAACTCAGGCTCCTCTCTCAGGTCAGGCTGCCACCCTCACCGGGTCTGTACCTGAGGGCTGGTGTGCTGAGCATGGGTCACAATGGAGCCTGGTGTTAGGTTTGCTTGTCACCTCATGTTTCTCGCCAGAGAGTAAAGGGAGGTGGCACGGCAGTAAAAAGGCTTTGGGCTTTGAATCGGGTGGGTCAGGTTCAAATTCTGGTTCTGCTGGCTCTGGACAAGTCCCAAATTCCTTTGAGCTCAGTTTCCCCATCTTGGTTGTTGTGAGGATTGAATCAGATCATGTATGTCAGGTGTCTGACATAAAGGAGATGCTCAGTAAATGCTGGTTGGTGAATAAATGAGCGAACAGGAAGAGGGATTGTCTGGGGTAGAGGCCATCAGTGAAGGGGGAGGAAACCAGCTGCACGGCTCCAGAGGGAGGTAGGCGGGAGGAAGCCATTACCTGAAACTTTGCCCTCTTGGAGAACCTCACTGGTAGCCCGAGCCACAAAGATGATCCCTTCATCGTCCTCCTTCTCTGTCTCCGAACTGTCGCTGTCCTCCTCCTCCTCAGACTCTACGGTTAATATCACAGCAGCTGGAGAGGGGCAAGAGCCGAGTGGGGTTGGCCACCAGCAGCTGCCTCTTGGTACCGCACAACCCCAAGCCGGACCCCTGTCCACCCAGGTAGAGCCCACAGTTGGCAGGGACACCTGCTTTGTCCTGTGGCTGTTACAGCACTGGCCTATGGAGTTGGGTGTTTGAGAGGAAGGGAGGTGGGGCTGCAGAGCTGAAGGAGGCAACAGGGAAAGCCAAGTCCTCAGAGGAAGCCATAAGGAAAGTCACACTTTCCAGCTCCCCCATCATCTCTCAGCCCCAGATCCCATCGTCAACTGGAAGCATAAACATCTGGAGGGCTAGAAGGCCCATCAGTGTGCAGCTCATCCAAACTCCTGGTTTTATAGACGGGGACACCAGGGTTCACCCATCCTTCAAGGCCCAGACCAAGCTCCCCTTTTATGACACCTCCAAGTCCTCAAGGCCTGTAACCTGTAGTTAGCTATCTGATGTCACAGATGTCTAATAACTGCTTAGACATGTTCAGCTTTGAAATCAAGTATCTAGTCCCTAAGGGGAAGAGCCCCAGTTTATGGTATTGAATGCTGTACAGAGGAGGTCCTTCAGGCTTCTGGCTGATGGGCCCCTGCCCTTTCCCTCCCTATCCCATCCTCAACTCCACCCCACTCCCTGCTTGCCTGTGTCCTGGAAGCCCAGGTCTCGAGGAGGTTTCCCATTTGTAGCCTCCGTGTTAGCCATGCCATCCTTCTAAGGACCAAAAAACAAAACAAAAAAAACCCTAAGCCTCTGGCCCTGGCTCCAAACTCCAACCCTGTCGTCTGGTGGGGTCAACAGGACAGGTCTTCCTGATGCAGGAGGGAAGGGAATCTGTCAATCCCAATGGTTCTACCATCCATTGACACCCCCATCCCCACCCCCGCAGGTGTTGTGGAGTCTGACATGCCCCAGCAAGGACACTCAGTGCGTCAGCTTGGGCTGAATAATAAGCTCATGGAGTCCCCGCAACGAGGAATCTGCCTTTCTCCTGCCCATTTCACCTCTGGTAGGTGGTCCTGCTGCCTCCCAGCATGTGACCACATGGACAAGAGGCTGATCTCCTTCTGAATCCCTTGCCTTCCCCTTCTGGGGCTCCAGGAAGATGCAAAAGGGAACCCAAGCTGCTGCAGCCCCCAAGTCCCTGAGAATTATCCATCTAGGGGGTCCCCCTAGGCTGGATTCCAATACTTGGGAGCTCAAAACTGCGTGCCGTCAGCCTGCAGCTGCAAACAGGAGTCCCAGAGAAAGCACATGCCTTCTTGCGGCCGGCCTTGCGGGGTCGTGGCTTGCTCTTGGTGAAGCAGATGTTGTGCTTGGTGGACTTAAAGGACTCCAGCCGCCGCTTCATGTTCTGCTGGAAGACCTCCTTGTCCTGGCGCTCCTGCGCATCCTCAGAGATGAAGTGGCGGCTGCAGCTGGCTTTGTACTGACAATGACAGCCCCGCCCTGCCGTGAGGCTGGGTGTCCTGGCCTCCCACAGGGACCCCAGGCCACAGCCCCATGTTCACCATAGCTCCTGCCGGCCCACTGTTGCCAGAACTAGCCATGGATTGAAAAAACAAAACAAAAAATACAGTAGGGACCCAGCCAGACTCTATACTCTCTATGTGCTCAGTTCACTGGGGAAAAACTTTCCTTTATCCCAGAACCTGTTCCCTCAAATTTGGCTTCCCGTATTCCCTACTGCCCTCTCCCAGTTCTCTCTGATCTGAAGTGACAAGAGGCAGGCGACCCTGTGTCTTGTCCCTCAGGGCTACTGTGAGGCCAAGGGGGGCATTTCCTTCTTTGCACCTGTTTATCTGAGCCTGGTCCACATTCCTGGCCCATTTGCCCCCTTTTAACTGCACAGGACTCTGTCCAGCTGGAGCTTTCCAGCCAGCCAGTTCTACAGCCACCACCATGACTCCTCAGGCTGCACTTTGAACTTCCATGACTACCTCTCTTGATACCTTTGACCCCCTCAGTCCCACAATACCTGAATTGGTGTCCAATTCAGGACCACCCCCATCTCCTCTTTCCAACTCTTTCTCATAAAGACCAAGCCCACTACACACTCACTTAGACTGTCTCCACCTCTGCCCTTGACTGCTGAGAGGCCTTTTCATCGCCTAGTGGTAACCCTGCAAAGTACTGCCCGCATGTTCCCAATCGTTTGTCTTGCCTCACATTCCCAGTCTGGTCCCTTTCCTTTGCCTCAGATTTTCTGCTTCCCTGAGCTGGATCTAAGAGCCCCCTTTAAGTCTCCTCCCAGCTGCCCTCTTCTACACACTCGCACAGAGGTGCCCCTCTCTCCTGGGCATGCAGGGGCCCAGCTCCTTCACAGGGCTCCTCACTCCCCAACCCAGGCCTCCGCTTTGCTTAGCTCACTCCCTGCCTCCATCAGTTCCCTGCTCTGCTCCCTCCTCCCTCCCTCCACTCTCCTGCATCTTCAATCCTTCCCTCCACACTGGCCCCCCTCCCTCTGCTTTTAAGCATGCTCCTGCCCTTACCTCCTTGAAGAAGGCCTTTCCATTGATACCATTGCCTCGCTTTTGCTGCCAGACTTTTACACTTACGTTCTGACACTTCCCCTAGTACCCATTCCTTGACTATCAGAGAAACAGCTCCATGTACATGTATAGCTGATTCACTTTGTTATAAAGCGGAAACTAACACACCATTATAAAGCAATTATACTCCAATAAAGATGTTTAAAAAAAATAAAATAAAGAAATGCAAACTAAAAAAAAAATACAGCTCCAGGGGGGTTTGCCTGATTGCAACTTCAGTGTGCTGCTTTCTCCCTGGTCAGCAGTGCCATGGCCTCTGGTTAGGCAACATCTGTGCAATGTCCAGCCCTCCTCATGCCCCAGGCCTCTGAGACACCATCTGCTACTGCCCCTCCAAGGGCTCCTTCTCTCTCCTCTGCTGGCTCCCCTTCTTTTACTTACAGGTGCATTCCTCAGTGTTGTCCTCCCCTCTAATGCCCTCCCCAGTGAAAGTGTCCTCTCTCAGTGCCAGCTAGCCCAGGGATACACCTGTGTTTCCCAAACATCAGCCATCAGACCAGCTACATTTGAATCCCCTCAGGGGACTTATTAAGAGCAGATTCCTCAGCCCATTGCACACCACAGGATCAGACTCTCCAGGAGAAGCCAGGAATATGTATTCTAGCAAGCTCCCTGGGAGATTCTGATGTAGCCAGGCCAGGAAACCTCTGATACAGATTGCTTCCAAATCTTTATCTCCAGCCAGTATCTCTCTCCTAAACTATAATCTTATGTTTCTAACTGCATACCAGATACTTCTGTCTCTCTCTGATGATATTTCTGTGAAGAACATGAGGAATTATGGACTGTGTTCTGGCATAACTAAGTGGATTTAGAACTGGTTGAGTAACCATACCCAAAAAATTCTTGATCAAGGTCAGTCTGGAGGAAAGTCTTTAGTAGCATGCCACAGGGCTCTGTCCTCAGCTCTATCCTGTTCAACATTTGTATGTTGATTTTGATGAATACAAAGTTAACAGGCTTAGCAAATTTTCATATGATGTGAATCTGAGGAGATATTTGGTGGCAGACATGGGATCCAAACAATGGAATGATGGGCTACATCAAATAAGATGACATTTAACAGGGATAAGCACAATCTTAATCCAGTTTTTTTAAATTGACTTCACAAGAACTGGTTGGACTGAACCATTGACCAATCTTACACACACACACATCCACAGACAGTCAGTCATTATGTACTTCCTGATGTAATACAATAAGAAATACACAGCACACCTATCGAATGTTCCTGAATACAACCAGGCCTCCAGATTTAACTACCAAGAAATACAGTATGTAGAGGAATATGTTAAACACCACCACTGGAATACAATCAGCAAAATCTGTAAAATGGAACATTCTTTGAGGTAATGTATCCAGTTTCTTCAGTAAGTAAATAATGAGAAAAAAAGGAAGACAAAACTATCACAGATTTTTTTAAAAAATAGAGACATGTTTACTAAATGCAAACTGTGGACTTTATTTGGATCCTGACTTGAACAAACCAGCTGGAAAAAGGTATTTATTGACCACTGGCTGGATATTTGAGGTGAGAAGGAATCACTGTTATTTGTTGTAAGTGATAAGGGTACTATGGCTTTTTTTTTTAAAGAATTCTTGCCACCTAGAGATACATATGGAAATATTTAGAGATGATATGATGTCTGGAGTTTGCTTTAAGATAATAAAGTGTAGATGGGGCGTAGGGGGGGACAGAATGTAACAGAATTGACCATGCATTGAAAATTATTGGAGGTGAGTGGTGGTTAAATGAGTTATTATTCTCTCTAGTTTTGTGAACAACAGAAATTTTCCATAAGAAAAAAGTAAACAAAACCAAAAAAACAAACAAAAAACCCCACAGGTTGGATGCAACAGGGTTTAATAGTCATTAACTGAGGAAGACATGGTGGGTTGCCTGACTGTAAGGACAATATGGGGCCTCAGGGTGGTGAGCCAAAGCTGGAGGGATTCTGGGCTGTGGGAAGATAATGACAAGTTCCAGAACTAGAAAGGTGAAAGAGCCCCTGTGCCAAACCCAGGCCACGGCAGTGAAAGCCCAGAATCCTAACCACTAGGCTACCAGAGAACTCCAAGGGCCATTTCTAATGACTAAAGAAGACACACCAATGACAGGAGCTGCTGGCCTGAGGGCAAGGAGGCCTGTGTGGAAGGAAGCTGTTTTGAAACCTTTGCAGACTTACTCTGCAGAGCTGCAGAGAGTCAAATCAGGACCAGTGGGAGAAAATTAAAGGAAACCAATCTGTCTCAGTGGTAGAAACAGCCTTGACTGTTAAAGCTGCCAGGAATGGTAACAGCTGGCTTCTCATTTCAAAAAGGTTCAAGGTAATGGCTTGCTGCCCCCTTGTGGGGTTGCAACAGATTCCTTCCTGTATGGGTTGGGCCTTTCCGACCCCAAAGCTTCATGACCTGCATTGGACTAACTCTCATTACCTAAAACAGATGTCTGCCTCCCCCAGGTTAAGGTGGTCCTGCAGGCGGCTTCCTCAGCACTCCTGTTCTGTGACCCCATCAAGCCCTCTGTATCTCCTGCTCTCCCCTTCCTGGCTGATCACACAGTTCTTTGTGCTCCTCTCCCTTCCGACCACCCAGGTCTAATCCACAGTGGTTCACTCCAGCTTCCCAACTGGCTCTCCCAGCCTCTCAACTCACCCCCTCCAGTTTGATCTGCCCTCTGCTACCAGAGAAGACATTCTTAAACAGTTCTTGTAACAGGCCAACCTTTCTCAAAAACAAAAAAAAAAACTAAAGGTTATAACCAACAAGATGAAGCCCACACTCTTCAACTGGGCATCCATAGCTCTCCACAAGCTGGTGCCAGCTGCCTCTTGAGCCTTCCATCGTGGCCTCCCCAGACAATACTCCCCCTCAGAACTCTGCCCTGCCTGTTCTCACCCTGTAGCGAGGTTTGTAAAGGCCTCCACAGAGCAGGTGGTGCATCACAGCATCCTCACGGTCCCGGCCGCTGCGTACTGTGTCAATCACCTGCAGATCCAGACATGCTCCACTGCCACTCTCCCTCCTGCAGGAGGGAAGGAGACACGTGTGCTAGGGACGGGCCAGGAGGCACAGGCTAGGGGAAGGGCAGAAGCAAAGGTGCTCACAAATCTTCCCCAGAAGGGATTCAGAGAGAGGGCGCAATAGAGAGGAGCTTGAGGAAGGCGGAGGGGGGCTCAAGGACTTACAGCAAGTTGGTGACAGAGGTCTCTGCCACAGAATTGCGGCTGGGCATAGAGGGCAGAGTGAGCCCGGTGGAGGATAAGACGTGGCCTCCCTGCAGGGGCCAAGTCAGAGGTCAAAATGGCAATCAGATGAAAGGTGGCCCAGACAATCAGAGGGTAATAAAAAGAATAACAATGGTTAACACACTTTGCTCTTTTGAAGTTCCAGGGACTGTGCTAGGCACTTTTTATACTGAATCTACAAAACTCTGACAGAGGTACTTTTACTCGCGCTTTCTTACAGTTGAAACTGAGGCTCCGAGAGGATAAGTGACTTACCCAAGGTCACAAGCGTGAGATGATAAGAACTGAACCACATCTCCTGACTCCAGTGTCCAGCTGTTTCCCACCTTCCTGTACTGCCTGCTAGACTCTACATGTCAGCATCAGGCCAGGCTCGTTCCTGTAGCTGCCACTTCACAAGACTATGGAGTCTGCTGGGAATTCCCAACTCCCTGCTCAGGGCCTGCCTGCTTGTCACCGCTTCCTGCCTTGCCCTGCTGGCCACCTGCCCACCCACCACTGTCTGCCGGCCCACCTGGTCCACGAAGCTGATGGCATCCCGGATGTTGAGTCTGTAGTACACATCCCAAATCTGGTCCCGGATGCGGTAGGCTGACCGCCGCATCAGCAGCTGACTCAGGTACTTCTTATCAAACTGCTCCCACCTACAGAGGATGCCAGGCCCGGTCCTGAGTGCCATCCCCAAGGCCTGGGCGGCTGGCCCTTCCTCAGACAGGGCAGGGGCACCGCCAGCGCTGGGCCTATGTCTCTTGGTGTGGGCATCAGTCAGGGAGAATCTTGAAGCTGGTCCCTGCCCTTCTGGAACTGACAGTGTTGTAGGAAAGCCTGACATTAATGAAGTTATTACATATAACTGTAAAATTACAACCATGGTAAGAACTATAAAGGATAATTATAGAGTATGATAGGGATTTGTCCTAGTCAGGGAGGCCAGGGAAACCTCCCTAAGGACTTGATGCCTGTGGTAAGATCTGAAGGATGAATAGAGGTTAAGTAGGTGAGAGGGAGGCAAAGGAATGTTCTAGTAGAAAGAACAACATGTGCACAGGTCCCAGTGGCCAGGGCCGGGGGAGCGTGGTGGGTTCTGAGTTTCTAAAACAGGGTTCATTTCATTGGCAGACGGATAGTCAAAGACACAGCTGAGCACAATGCGGCTGGTGTCTGGAGGTGCCAGACCATGCAGGGCAGAGCTGCGCAGGCCTCACTGGGGAGCCTTGTCTTATCCTGAGAGTACTGGGACACCCGTACTGCCAGTACTGCCCGAAGGGCTTCAGGAAGAAGTTGCCCAGCCTGAGCCTGACTGTGTCCCTCCTCAGAAGTGTGCACATCCCCCATGCTGCCCTGGCTGGTGAGGCTGCCGCTGCTGAAGGAGCCTCGGGGCAGCTCCCTCACCTGTCCCTCCAGTAGTGATAGCCATGGTGCCCCACAACGTCCTCCACTGCAGCCAGAATGTGGTCAAAAGTCTAGAAGGGGGGTGGGTAGGGGGACCGGATCAGGACTCTGCTCAAAATAGGAGAAGGGAGAGAGGGACAGGTGGAGGGATGGGGTTCTGGTACCCACGTGCTCATGCAGCTCCTGGTTCAGGGTAGGTTTGTGATGGTCACTCCTCTTCACCTTCAGCCACTTGACCAGTGGCTTGATGGTCAGGCCCTACGGACAGGCAGCCAGTGAGCCCTGCCCTGTCCAGTTCCCTGCTGCCTTTCCCTCCCCATAGTTAGGCTTCAGCTTCTGTATCCCCACCTCACGGCACTCAAGGTCTGGGAAGTCAGGCCCCCCTGCCTCCCATCAGAGGAAGAGGAGCCCCTCTCCCACAGGCTCCAAGCCTCCCCCAGGGCCTGCCAGACCCTCTCCCCATCCAGCCTCGTGGGCGCTCCCACCTGCACGATGACTGTGAAGAAGACCACCACAATAGTGGTGGCTACAAAGTAGTCCTTGGCAGGGATCTTGGTCCTGTCCAGGAGGATGACGAGAGCAAAGGCCACAGCCCCCCGCAGGCCCCCATAGGACATCACCACCTGGTCAATCTTGTCCAGAGGGACCAGCCGGAACTGATTCAACACCCACGTCTGCAGGACTACGCCTACAGCAGGAGGGAGGCCAGTGGGAGCAGGGTGTGGGAGGGCACGCCTACAGCAGGAGTGGAGGGCACTGGGCATGGATAGCACCAAGTATCTGGGCTAAGGTCTGACAGGGGCTGGGAGGGGTGAGCAATAAGGGGAGGCTTAGAAATTGTTGACAAGAATGTGGACTCAGACTGGGAGATGAGCTGGGAGGGTGGGCAGGAAGGAGGGTGGGAAAGCAGAGGGTGCCGGCAATACCGAGGGCTCGGAAGAACAGGATGAAGAAGAGGGTGCCCAGCACCAGCCCAGAGTCCCAGGCCCACTTGGAAGAGTCCACGGCCGAGATGCCAAGCAGCATGAAGATGATGGTCTCAGCGCAGCTGGCTAGAGTCTTCATTGTGTACTTGACAGCTGTGCGGGACTTATGGGAGATGTTGGCCTCCACGTACTTCTTACAGCCCAGGCCACACATAGTCACCCTGGGAGAGGAATGGAGAGTCAGGGCGAGTGAGGAGGGGCCACAGGAAGCACAGCCTTTGGGGTTTGAGCATGCACAGGAGAGGGTGTTGCCCATCACAGGATGTCAGATTCTCAGAGCCAAAGCCCAGGGAGGCATGGAGACCACCCAAGGGTAGGTAGTGGTGGTCCTGGGATAAAAGGGTCCGAATCTCCAGGCTTCCCTCTCGGTGCCTTCTGGAGGGGGAAGCTGGGAGAAACGTGCTCTGACTAGCACACTGTCTGAGGCACCTTTTAGAGTTCTGTGGCCACCAGAGCCAGTAGCACCAGGCCTCAAAGTCCAGTTCCAGCTCAGCCTACACCCCAGAGAGCACTTTAAGCAGAGGAAGTTTGGGTTCTGGGGTGCCCAGGACAGCCCTAGAGGCAGGTCCTGGCATGTTACCTGAGGCTTAGTATCTCCCCAGGGGAGTCTGAAGCTCCCACTCCCACAAGGGCTCAGGGAGACCTATGGCCTCCTCCGGGTCCTGCTTCTGTCCATGTGAGGGCGACCATCTCCAGTGCCCCCTCCCAGCTGCCTGCCTGCAAGGCCCCTAGGACTCACGCAAGAATGGCGGAGAGCGAGGCCATTTCAGCAGTAAGGTAGGCTGCGTAGGCGAGGAGGAAGACCAGCAGAGGCTCGATGATGCGGACCCGCTTGGTGAAGCGTGTGGTCAGGGCCAGGAGGAAGGCAAAGACTAAGCCCACGGCTGCCCCGCCCAGACTGACCACAAACAAGGAGGCTGGGGGAGGAGTGGGTTGTCAGCATGACCCCTGGCCCGGACCCCACCAGGGCTGACAAGACTGCTGCCTGGCAGGGAGTGGAGGATGATGCCCACTGTGCATGCCCACTGTGCTCCCCAGGGGTCAGGGTCCCAGAGCTAGGATTCCAGGAAAGGCCCTCCTTCTCAGGTTCTCAGGGCCCTATTTCTCCATACATGAGGGAAGGGAATGAGGCAACCCGAGCAGCGTCCTCTGTCCCGACGCGGTGGGGGGCAGGGGCTCAGCAACCCAGGGGAGGCAGACCTCCAGTGCCCGCCAAGAGGGAGGAAATACTGACCGACTCCCTTCAGGTAGTCAGTGGCCTGCACGTTGGCAGAGCCCATCTCCACAAAAGAGTTGCAGACCTTGTACAGCACCTAAGCGAGAAGAGGAGCATCAGGAGCGGCGGGGGAAGGCGGCAGCCTGGACTGCGTGGAGAGGGGGAGGCAGGGCCCGGGGAGGAGTGGGGCCTGGTCAGAGCATGGCAGCCTGGGGTCAAGGAACGGCAGCCAGCCGAGCACTCTCACCACGGTAACTGCATCGTTGAGCAGGGACTCGCCGAAGACGATGATAAAGAGGGTCTCGTTGACGTGCACCTCCTCAAAGACAGCCAGCACGGCCACGGGGTCCACTGCTGAGATGAGGCTCCCAAACAGCAGGAAGTCCAGCAAGCCAGCCTGCACTCTAGGGGCTTTCGAGGGACAGCAAATGGTGAGGTACTGAATTGCCTACAGCAGTCCCTGTAACAAGCCCAGACTCCAGCCCCACTATAAAAACAAGTATCCCCAGAGAGGACCTGGGATGGTGAAGAGAGCGTCGGCCTGCAGGTCAGGAGACCTTAGGTCTTGAGCCTAAGGCCTGCCTTTGCCACTTACCAGCTCTGTGATGTTGGCACTCTCATTGTCACATGACTTCTCATAAGCCATGCCTCCTCATGTGCCTGCCTAACAGTACTGCTGCAAAAATCAACCCAGGAGATGGCTACGATAGCTCTATGTAACCTGGAAAGCTAAGGCGGCACTGACAATAAGAACTGCAGCAACAGTAATAATAACCACCAGCAGGTGGAAATTGGCTGCTGACTGGCTTTATTCGGGAGAAGAACGAAAGAGAGTGCTTTCTCCCACACCGGTGGTTCTCAGCCTGAGGACTTCGACACGTCTGAATTATCAACATTCAGGGTTGAATGGATTTGGGGGCCAGGAAATGAGGAAGAAGGGAGCAGGACAGGGCAGCCTGAAGGCAAAGAGCATCAGTAAAAAAGACCTCTCCTGCTAACTTTGGACCTGATATCGAATGAGTTTAAGGGCCTCTATCTCCTCATCCATTAAAGTGGGACAAATTATAACCCCAGCAAGGTTGCTGTGAAGAGCCAGTGGGATAAGTATAGAGAGAACACCCCGTGTAGTGTCTTGCATTCTGTGGATGTACAATATGTATTTATTAAAAATAATAATAAAAACAGAAAACCACCCTGATGTGACCTGGGCAGAGCCCTCACAGGAAAGGTGAGCTGTGCCTCAGGAGAGCCAGGCTGGCAAGTGGCAGTATGGTATCAGGGCAGGAGGCAGCCAGAGTCCCAGCCTTGGCAGCCCACACACAGCTGGGAGCCAGGCCCCTACTCAGCTGTCATCTGCAGAAGCCCAGACTCATCTGGCAGGGACCTAAATGAAGGCTGAAGGCCCATCTGGAGCATTGCCTCACACTCCAGTTGGGAGGGACCTAAGATGGAGCTCTCAGGGCATGGCTGTCGTCAACACAGGATCTTCAGAGCTGGAGGAGAAGGGAGTTGGGTGATGAGTCTGGCATAGCCTCCCGCTACCAGTCCAGGTCTTAAGGTCACTCACCCACAAGTCCAGCCTGCTGCAGGCCCCAGAGGGCAGCACCTGTCGTGAAGGCATTCCAGAGTGTGCCCACCACAGCGTAGGTGAGGATGGCGCCCAGGTTGTCAAAGAATAGCCGGCTAGGCATGAAATAGCCCGAGTCCAGCACGATAGGAGGCAACAGGAAGAGGAAGAAGGTGCCTGGCTCCAGCTGGTATTCAGCTTTCTTGGCCACAGCCAAGACAATGCCCCCCAGCACCAGTCCCAGCAAAATCAGCAGGCAGCTCTCAGGGACCAGAGACGTCACCTTCCGAGACAAGTGAAACACTACAATGCAAGAAGAGGGCAAGAGGTATCAGCTTATGGGATGCGTGCACGCGCACACACACACACACACACACACGTACACACACGTACACACACACACACACACACACACACACACACACACACACACACACACACACACACACACACACAC